CTAATTTAGATCTTTTCTCCTGTACTTTTAAGCGTTCCCCTCCTGCTTCTCTTTCTTGAAGATGAAGAATAACTGGTTACTTATCACCCACACATTATCTATTCATTCAACTTTATTATTTTGGGGTTAAAGTTTCTTTAATATTTCTTTATAGATTCTGGTCATTTCATCACTGAGAGTTTTTCTCCTGCATTCTGTCCAAGGTTTCCGTATTCTTTTTAAATTGTAGAATCCCAAACTTTGTAATAAAGTGTGATGAGCATAGAATATGGAGTTGAAAGAAACATTCCAATGGAGGTCATACGTGTTGTGATTCCTGGTTATAAAAGTCAGTAAGTAACATGCTTACTACTAAACAAGTAAATGAAGTAGGTAATCGGAAAGAGCAGTGACTTGGAGACAGAATTGGGTTAAAACCCTGGCTGTGTGTCCTTGAGCCCTTTATCTGAAGCTGGAAGTAAAACCTCCCTCCCTATGCAAACGTCTCATTGAATTTTGCCTGGACTACTTCTTTGCCCATAATTATATTTTTCCTTTTAGTGTAGTGCTTTGTGTACGTGTATTGGTTCCCTGTTAGATAGTAAACTTCTTGAAAGTTGGGTCACTGTTGTACCTAACATTATAAGTCTAGGGCTTCTCAAGGTAGCTGGTACAGAGTAGACAAGTTTTGGCTGAACCGAAATACTTTAATACGGCACAGTTAGTTCTCTGTCTTGTCACATGGTCACTCAATTGGAGATGGAAGAGCACTGGCTCTGAAGTTAAAGGACTTGAATTCAAATCCTGCCCTAGATACCTACTACTGCATGACATTGTGCAAATCACTCAACCTTTCTGGGTCTCAGTTCTATAAAATGAAGGAGTTGGATTGGAAGAATGTCTAACGTCCCTTGCAGTTTTCGGTGATCTATATACAGAAATATGAGGGTCTCAGTAAGGTTTATAAACTTAATATTGCAACTTGGTGTATAGTGGAAAGAGTGCTGACCTCAGCGCCAACAAACCTAGTTCAAGTTCCAGCTCTGTCACGTAACAGCTGAGTGGCCTTTGGTAAGTTGCTGAACCTCTATGAACCTCAGTTTCCTTACCAAGAAAATGGAGATAACAATTCTTTACCTACTTCACAGTGTTCTTTTGAGGAAAGTGCTTTGTGAAACCTTAAAGCTATATACAAATGTGACCTATTCCTGTTATTGAAGTTGAATATTCAGTAGCTCCCTAGAGTTAGGAGGACCTGAGTTCAAATTCGACCTCAGACACTTACTAGCTGTGTGACCCTGGGCAAGTCACTTAATTGTGTTTGCCTTAGTTTCCTCATCTGTAAAATAAGTTGGAGAAGGAAAAGGCAAACCACTCCAGCATCTGCCAAGAGAACCCCAAATGGGGTCACAAAGAGTTGGACACAACTGAAAAATGACTGAACAGCAACAAAAATGTTTAAAGGTAAATTTGTTTAGTCACTGTGGAATTACTGCTTGAATAAGCCACGCTTTTAAACTTAGTATACCATGCATGATTATTGTATAAACAAAATGAGTTACTCACTTCATGAAGTGGTTTCCATTTACTCCCTCCGTAAAGATTCTGGATGATTTAGAAGGAGTCAAGTGACTGACCTGAACATTCCAATAACTCCGACTTCAGCCTCGTCACTTGTAACTCCCAGGACTAACAAATAACTAGTGCCGCAGAGCCCTTCGTTGGTTTACTTGGAGGGATAATAGAAGATGAAAAAAAAATAAAGGAATGAAAAGTGAGGCAGGACTCTTATGCACATAGCAGCTGGGTAGAATATTTAACAAATTGTTTCTACCAGGGAAAGGAATTTTAAATTCACAAACATTTACTCTGCACACAGCATCTTCACCAAAGTCCTACTATAATTCCTCATCAAAGCGGGGAAAAACCAGGAGAAAACCTTCAGTTTAAAAAATATATCCACGCTTTTTGTTTTTACATAGAGTCACTTTTGGAAGCACTTTCAGTCCCCACCCCCTTCCAGATTTAATCATCCATTGTAAGAAAGAAAATCAAGAAGAAATGCTAAGTATATTGTCAAATATATACAATATATACAATATACAACATACAAATATATACAATATATACAATGTTAGCTCTTGGCCTCTTTGTAGGGAGGAGGGAATTATATTTCATTATTAGTTTCTCTTAGAACATTACGGGTTTTTCAGTTAAGAGTTTCAGCTTCCATTTAGGGATCTTTTTATTGTGATATTGCTATAGTCATTTTGTCTATTGCTATTTTGTTGAGGCTCTTTTTTTTTCCGAGGCAATTAGGATTAAGTGACTTGCCTAGGGTCACACAGCTAGTAAATGTCAAGTGTCTTGTCTGACTGGATTTGAACTCAGGTCCTCCTGACTCCAGGGCCAGTGCACTATCCACTGCACCACATCTATTGCTGTTTTGATTCTGGATATCTTCAGTTCATAATATCTTCCCATGCTCGTTTGAATTCTTTATATTGATCATTTCTTAGTGCAAAATAATATTCCACTACATTCACCTAGGTTTGCTGAACCATTCCCCAATTGATGAGTACCTACTTTGTTTCAAGTTCTTTGCTTGCTGCTATGTTTGTTTCTGTCTTTGATACCCACGGAGGATATATTCCTAAATGCTATTGTCTTGATAACAAAATAAAGGAGAGGTCAATTACACCCAATTGAAGAGGTGGGAAATAGGGATAGTTCAATTTATGATTGGCCTTCATCAGCAGAGCAGACTCTACCTCTTTGGGCATTCTTCATCCTCTTGTCTTTTTCTGGTGGCTGAGGAAACAAAAAGGGAAGCACAGGACTAAGAGCCATTTGGTGGTTTTCTTTGTTTCATGGGTTAATGTGACCAAAGAATTTCATCTCATAGTAGCCACCCTACTGGTAATGAGCCTTTCTATTTTAGTTAATCTGGCCTTTAGAAAACATGTATATAGTCTGCTGCTGGCCTATTGCTTTTTCATCTTGGTAGAATCTATTAGCATTTGTTCCCGAGTAGGCACGGCCCAGTAGAATGTAAGCTTCCTGAGGGAAGGGACCTTATTTTTTTTAGGGGGGAATCTTTCTGTTCTTGGTGTCTTGTATGTAGTAGGCCTTTACTAAATATTTGTTGAATTGAAGAACCCAGGATTACCTTTATTCCATAATGAGGAATCAGGGAAGGACTTTCCTAGAGGCTGTAGAGTACATTAAAATATCCCTACATTATATACTGCCATTGTTTTCTAAATTTCTTTTTCAAAATAAATAAGAAATTACCAACCCAAGTTTGTGTAGAGACATCATGGCATAACGGGAAAAGTACTGAACTTGGAATCAGGAAGACCTGGGTTTGAATCCTGTCTCAGACTCTTAGCACAGTGCCTGGCATGTAGTAAGCACTTAATAAATGCTAATTGATTAGTATTGGGAGGGAGTCACTTAACCTTTCTAAATTTCAGTTTATTCATCTGTTAAATGGAGACATTAATACTACTTACCTCCATGGTTGTGAGAATCAAATGAGATATTGTGTATAAATAATTACATAACTCTTAATATTATTTGGGAGGAAAAATATCTCCTTCTTCCTCCTGCTCCCATGGAATGGCTTTAGTGTTTCTGGAAGTTTTCTTTAGGTCATGCTGTATTTTTCAAAGATACTACATCTCAAAATGTCTGTGACCATTCATCTGTGCTGTTGGAATAGTTCCCATTTCAGCACCAGTAAAATACTTGATTTATGACCTGTTTTCAGGAGTAGTATAGGAATAAGCAGCTGGGCTAAATAAATTTGTTTACTTATTCATCTTCATTTTGATTTTCCTCACTCTAGGCAGCAAATTAATTTGTTTTCAAATAAATAATGTTTCTGTATTTTATCAATGTAATCAACTGACTGATCAAATAAACATTTATTAAACATCTACTGTGTGTCAGGTACTGTGCTATGAGCTGAGGATATAAAGACCAAAACAAAACAATTCCTGTTCTTAGAAAGTGCACCTTTTAATGGAACTGTGCTGTTAATAGGTGCTTAGCAACTTAGGCATAATTGTTGATAGACTTGGAAAGAATTTAATTTTAGTACCAAAAATCAAATGGATACTTTGAACACTCTTAGTATTCAGATCTAGAAAAATAACAATATTGCAATTACTTAAATACTACTGTGCTATAAGAAATGATGAGCTCAGTGATTTTAGAAAAACGTAGATAGACTTCCATGAAATAGTGAAGAGCAAAATGAGCAGAACCAAAAGGATGTTGTATACAGTAGCAGCAGTATTGTTTGAAGAACAACTTTGAGCGAATAATTTTGACTATTATAAATACCCAGATTAACTACAAAGGACATATGAAGGAAGATACTATCTGTATCCATAGAAAAAACTGATAATAGAAATGTGTATAGAATGATTTTACATACACACATATACATTTGTGTCTAATGGTAGCTATCTCTGGAGGGTGGGGAGGAAATAAAAGGAAAAAAAGAAATTTACACGATAACTATTATGTGTTTAAAAGGAAAATCAAATTGTACATAATAGATTTGCAGTTTCATGTGCAATCATCTTTTTTTAATTATACCATGTTATGGGAATACTATATTACATAAATTAAAAATAAAATTGAAATTAAAAAGTTATATTTGCTTTTTATAGTTCTATTTTTGTGACAGTGCATTTGAAGGGCATTTCCCCCCTCTCACTGTAGTATAAAAATATTCTATTTATTGATAATTTTTAGTTATAAGTTTATGTATTTTTAATGCTACAAGCTTTTTCACGTAGGAATAATAATAGGTCTTATGAGCATTTTTACAACTCTTTTATTCTAGCACTAGAATGAAGATTGATATTATCTTTCATCATGAAAATAAGATTACTCCCCCCCCACCCCGTTATACTTACACATTTATAAACTGAAAACTCTGATTTGTATGCAAAACTGCTAGGTAAATTTTATTGCTTAGAAGAAATTTTACCTCCTTTCTTTTTCAGTCTTCCATATAATGAATTTTTTGGTGGTGTGAGTGGACTGACAGTGGAGCAGTTTAAAAAAATCAATGGATTTCCTAATGCCTTCTGGGGATGGGGAGGAGAAGATGATGATCTCTGGAATAGGTATGTTGCTTGACTGTAGAAGTTCCTCATTTCATGCAAGATTCCAAATCTCTTTTCACTATCAAACTAATGGGGAAATGAAAGAAAAAGGAATGATTATCTTTGTGATTTTCTTTTTCTTTTTTTTTCTAGCAAGACAAGGTTTATTAAAGATCCGCCATATCAGCCAGACTCTAGAGGAATCTGAGAGTCTGTGAGGTATTGGCTAGATTCTAAGAATCAGAGCAGTGGCTAGATTTTAGGAATCAGAGCACCTTAATGGAGACAAGATGGACCTTATATACAGAAAGACTATGGGAGGAATCTAGGAGTGGCCTATTAGTTTGGGGTGACTGGAGGAGGGGTCCAAGGAGATCTGGATCGGAGTGGCCAGTAAACTAGGGTGAACACCTGGGACCTGGAAAATGGAGATTAAGTGTGGGAAATGGCCAGGGGACATCAGGAGGGCTAGGCTAGGTTAAGGGTAACAGAATTGGGAGATTGCATGTAGACACAAAGAAAGGCCAGTTGATGGGATTATAGCCTCAGCATCTTTGTGATTTTCATAGCAATCCCATGTTTGATGAAATAGAAATGGTTCAACAAAGTTTTATAGAAAGGGAATTTTAGGTTACATGAATTGTCTTTTATAAAGTTGAATTGCCATTCTTTGAAAAATATTGGTCTCTTAGATATCATAAACTAACATCTTAAAAAAAAACTATTAGAATCATAGATACAACTGGAATGTACCTCAAAGGTGAAAATTGTCTAATCCTCTTATTTTGTATAAGAAAAAAATTAAGACCTAGAGGTCAAGTTAGCAGAGCCCAGATTCTCAAAGCTATACTTAAAGATGGCAGGAAGGAGAGATGAACTATCAAACCAGGAGATAATAATCAACATTACCAATAATAATGTGTTGTATTCAAAACCCATCAGCAAATGCAATTTTTTTTTAAACTGGCATTGTGATTTTCTATCTTACCCAGTTTACCATTTCCACTATGGAGGGAGTAGTCCCAAAAGTTTTAGTAACTTGGCTAAATTTTCAAAAACTTCAAACCACTTTAACATATCTTACTTTTATTTCAGGGTAATCATTTTCTTACCTCTTTTCTGTACTTGAGGACGGAAAAGGGGTAAGGAGACCTTAAGAGAGATGGAATTTCTTTTTTCCGACCTCTTGCATTTACCAGCCTTTCTTTTTAGATATCTCTCAGTAACACTTGTACAGTTCTTTATGGAATTTTCATATGGAACAAGATAGCAACACATAAATCTGACTGAAATATTTAGTCAGTATTTAAAAATTAAGACTTGCTTTATTATCTTCTGGGACATGTAATTAACTTTTTACTAGCTAATGTTTTTGTTAGCAAATTAGTAGATGGTGCATTTGTTGAGCTTTCTTTTTCAAAATTGATAGTTATTTCATGAAAGAAAGTCTCTATTTGTTTCTTACACTGGTCTACACAGTTAATTCTCAATCCTTTCTTGGTGGATAGAAAGTATTTTCTTCAAGATTCCTAATGACCTCCTTATTACCAAATCTAGTGGTCTTTCTTTCAAACTCCTTGAAGATTCTGAATCAACTGACATCACTGATCTCCCTATCTTAATGAAAGTCAATCAATAAACATTTATTAAGTATCTCCTAAGTGTCAGGAACTATACTAAGCAGTAGGGATACAAAAACAGGCAAAAGACAGTCCTTGCCCTCAAGGAGCTTACAGTCTCACAGGACAGACTATGATTAAAAAAATACTTACAAAGCAAGCTATATCCAGGATGAATAGGAAATAATTAACTGAGAGAAGGCCCTGGAAATTTAAGAGGGGTTGGGGAAAGGCTTCCTATAGAAGGTGAGATTTTAGTTGGGACATACAGGAAGCCACATAGGTAGGTAGTCAGAGCAGAGGAGGGAGAGGATTTCAGGCAAGGGAAACAGCCAGAGAAAATTCCTGGAGTTGAAAAATGGGGTATCTCATTCATGGAATAGCCAGGAGCCCAGTGTCACTGAATTGAAGATTATGTGTTGGGGAGTAAGGTATAAGAAAACTGGAAAGGTAGGAGGGGGATGGGTTATGAAGGGCTTTGAATATTGAACAGTGCATTTCTATTTTATCCACTAGAGTTTATTGAGTGGGGTGACATGATTGGCCTGCACTTTAAGAAAATCACTTTAATGGCTTAATGAAGGATGATTTGGAGTAGGGAGAAACCTGAGGCACGCAGAACCACCCACAGGCTATTGCAATAATCCAAGTATAAGGCAACAAAGACCTGCACTAAAGCGGTGAAAGTAACAGAAGAGAGGAGGGGGCATGTTCAAGAGAAGTTGAAAAGGTGAAATCAGCAGGACTTGGCAACAGATTGGGTATGGGATTGAGAGTTAGTGAGGAATACAAGATGATTCCTAGGTTGTGAGCCTGAAGGACTGGGAGGATGATATTCTACAGTAATAGGGAAGGTGGTGGCAGAGGGAAGATAATGAGTTTCATTTTGTACATATTGAGTTCAAGATGTCTACTGATGTTGAGATGTCTAAAAGACTGAGATGCAAGACTGGAGGTCAGCAGAAAATTTGGGGCAGGACAGGTAGTTTGAGAATCATCAGCATAGATTTAGCAATTAAATTCATGGGATGAGATTACCAAGTGAAATAGCATAGAGGGAGAAGAGAAGGCCTAGAATAGAATCTTGAGGGACACCTACAGTTAGAGCGTGTGATCTGGAAGAAGATTCAGCAGAGGATACAGAGAAGGAGTAGTCAGATAGCTAGAAGGAGCAAGTATACCAAAAACCTAAACAGAAGAGAATATCATGGAAAAGAGAATGATCGACAGTGTCAAAGACTGCAGAGAACTCAGGGAGAATGAGGATCGAGAAGAGATCCAGTAATAACTTTGGAGAAAACAGTTTCAGTGGAATAAGGTTGGAAGCTGGGATGTAGGTTAAGAGAGTGAGAGGAAAGTAGAGGCACCTATAATAGATAGCCTTTATAGTTACAAAGGGCAGAAGAGATATAGGACAATAGTTAGCAGTGATGGAAGGATCAAGTCAGGGTTTTTTTTTTCAGGATGGGGGCAACATGGCCATATTTATAGGCAGCAGGAAGTGAACCAGTGAAGGGAGAAATTGAAAATAAGTGAGAGGTGGGGATGACAGAGGGAGCAATCTTTGGGGGAAAATGGGATGAAATGAGATTGCTTGAACAAATAGAGGAGTTAGCATTGGTAAGGAATAACGCCACTTTATCATGTGAGACTGAGGTGAAGAAGGACAGAGTGACAGAAGTCATCTAAATGATAGAAGATAGGGAAGAGGGGAGAAGAGGGAAGTTCCTAAAGAAAGCATTAATGTATCCTAATGAAACTCACTATCTTCTTTGGCTTCTGTGACACTATAATTTCATGTTCTACTGTGATAACCAGTCTGTCCCTCTTTGTCTCCTTTGCATATTCTTCTTTCTTCCAAATTCTGAATATAGGCATTCTTATGTCCTTAGCTCTCTTCTCTTCCTTTGAGAATTTAATCAATATCTTGACTTCAGTTATCACTTCTATTCCAATGTCTTCCAAACCTACATTTCCACTTGTTAGATTTTTTCCACCAGGACATCCTGCCAGCAATTTAAACTTAACATGTCCTTAACTCAATTCATTGTCTTCCTCCTGATCATTTTCCTGATTTCTCTGTTTCTATTCTTGGTATCCCTGTCCTCTCAGTTATCCACACTAGGAACCTTATAAGTCTTAATCACTCTGAGTCAATCTTCCCTCAAGCTCACTCTGGCACATTCAATCAGTTGTCAAGTGTTTCCAATTCTGCTTCCCCACTGTAATTTGAACCTCTTTTCTTTTCTGTTCCCACCTAAAATCACCCTAGTCCCAATTCTCATCACCTCTTGCCTTGACCATTCTAGTCTGTCCCCCTCCCCAACCTGTAAAGGTGGCCTGTGGCCATAGTCAGTACACAGGGATTTTTACTTTTAGCACAAACAGGAACCCAGAGAAGTAAATGGATCAAAGGATTGGAACCCTTATCTTAGGTCAATACCCAGAGGCTATCTAAACAGTAAACACATTAAAAATGAAGGGAGGGAATAAAATTCATTTTTCCAACCCAATAATCAGACATCAGTTGCAGAGACTTGATGAGTAATCCTCCACCAGACCTAAGAAAGGCATTGAACATAATGTCCCCTTCTATCCCTTGAGTCTCTTACCACAAACCCCAGGTTTCCTCTGTTGTAGTCAGTTACAACGGAGTCCCGTAATAAATCTTTACAAATTTGTCTCTTTAGTACTTGTCTATGTCAGCCCAGTAGGAACATAGAACTAGACCTTGTGTGTTGATGCCAGCAAGTGCCGAAATCAATGAAATTTGTCAAATCTCCCTCCAGCTTTCCCCTCATTACCCTTTTTTACCTCTAGTGTGACACAAAAATCAAGCTGGAGATTGAGTAAAAGCCAACTCTTCCTGGGTGTTTGATATGTCCAGATCCCCGGGCAAAGGACATCCTGCCTATACTCTCTGAACTCCTTCTGACCTAACCTCACAACATAATCCACTAGATGGTATCCTAGTTCTTTAGGGTTCTCATAAGCTTTGTGGGTTTTCAAAAGTCCAGGGTTACTTGACCTTCTTCTGTGATCTGGATGAATGGGAGGGAAAAAAAGCATTTTTAAGCATTTACTGTGTTGAGCACTTTGCTAAGTGCTGGGAATACAAATATAAAAGTGAAACTAGTCTCTGCCCTCAAGGAGTGTAACTTCTCTCTTAAAATTTCATTTTATAATCCAGTTAATGAACACTTATTTTCTTTCCCTTCAATCACTCCTCATTTAAAAGGAGAAAAGAAAAACAAAATCCTCATAACAAATATGCATAGTGAAATAAATATATCCCCCTAATTATTTTCCCCCATCATGAATGTGTTTCATTTTTTATCTTAAATCTATCACCTCTTTGTAAGAAGGTGAGTAGCATAGTTTATTATTGACACCAATGTTGTTCATTAAATTGATCAGAATTTTTAAGTCTTTCAAAGTTGTATAATTTGTTCTCCTCATTCTGTTCACTTCTGCTTCATATGAATGTTCCTAAGGTTTCCATGAAACTGTCCCTTTTGTTGTTTCTTATGGTACAATAGCATTCCATTGTATTCATATACTGTAATTTTTTTAGCCATTCTCCAAAAGACGGGCACCTCTTTAGTTTCTAGTTCTTTGCCACTGCAAAAAGAGCTGCTTTAAATATTTTAGGAGCAAAAAATAGGGGGGAGACAACTTGTAGGAAAAAAGTGGCCAGGGAAGGATATTTTGGTTTGGAAAATTATGAGGATAGTGAGTGCAGCTATAGGGAGTAGGTTAGCACATCCTTTCCAGGAGTAATAACAGAGATGATTTTATTACAGATACAAAAATGGAAAACTAATGTGGGGGGGAATGTGTGTACATGTGCAGTCGCAAGATGACTAGCAAAGAGAAGGTTGAGGAGTAATATAAAGCATGCTGGAGCCAGGATGTGTAGTGTATAACTGAGGAACCCACTAATCAGGGTAGTGGGGTCCCAGTGGAGACATTCTGGGGATGAGGAATCTTCAGGACTTGGTTTGAGGCATGATAGCTTGTAGTAATTTAGGTGAGTAGTAATGAGAATACAGAAAAAAGAACAGATTCATGAGACATTTTGATGGGCAAATCAACAAACCTTGTAACTGATTGGATGGGAGATATGAAGAAGAAAGAGACAAAGAACCTCAAGATTTCAAACATGGGATAAATAATGAAGTCAAAAAGAGAAGGAACTTGGGTTTTGAACATTTTGAGATTGAGATGCTGATGGGATCTCCAGGTAAAGATGGCTTATAGGCCTTACAGGTTTAGAGATTGTGAGAGAGTTCAGAGACTGAGTTGTAGATTTAAGAGTCATCTATAGTGGAGTTAGATGAAGCTTTGGGAGACAATGGGATTGTCAAGGAAGAGAGTCTAGAGAGAGAAGGGTAGAGAGGTAAGAACTGTCTTGGGAGAACATCCACCATAAGTTGTCAAGAAGAGGACAAACACAGAGGAGTGGTTAGATAGGTAGGAGGAAAACCAGGAGAATATCACTTCTGAAGCCAAAAATTAGGAGTCATCAATAGTGTTATATGTTCCTGAGATGCCAAAGATGATGAGTCAAAAAACCATTGGAGTTGGATGAACTTTCAGAGAGTAGTTTCACTAGAATGGTAGGAAGGAAGTCAAGGTAAAGAGAGTTGGGAGAGGGGATGCGGGTATGGGGAACAGACAATTTGTTTTCAAGAAGTTTGAGAGAAGAGACATGGAATGGTAGGTATATGGGGTAGAAGGGCTGTGGGAATTAGGAAAAATTACATATTTGGAAGAAAAGATTGAAAAGGGTGTGAGAAAGAAGGGGTGATTTCTGGTGCTCAGTTCTGGAGGAGGCCAGAGGAGTTAGCATCAAGGGAACAGTGGGATTATAGTGTTAGTAAGGAGTAGACATAGTTCCTCTTTCTTTCCTGCCCAGTTCTCCAGCTCTAGTTTGTATTATAATAATTTATCTATGTTCTGCATCTGATGTATACTGGCTATGTGACCTTGATAGAAAGCAAGTCCTAAATACTGAAAATTAAAGAATTTTTGTTGCTTAAAGTAGTGTTGTGACTGACTATGAATTTCTAGAGGTATAATTGTGATGAAAGGCAGTATGATGTTGTCACAGTAAAGAGCTAGCTTTGAGGCCAGAAAGCCCAGGGTTCAAAAGTCCTACCTCTCACACATACTGGCTATGTGACCCAGGGCAAGTCACTTAAACTCTTAAGAGTTCCCTAGGTAGCTCTCTAAGACTGTTTATTGCAGGGAAAATGTTCACCAACATTGGTAGATGAAACTTACTTACCAGGAGTTTCCTATACCAATAAAGTCATAGGTCTAGGCTCTATAAAGGGAATTTGTTTTAACCAGGGAATTACAGTAATCGTTCTTTAGGTGGTAGAAAGACAAGTGATCAAGTTCTGTTCTCTTCAGACATGTCCATAGCATACAGAAATCAAAACAGATGTAGAAGTACGCTAGATTAGACCATTGTTAGAATGGACCAAATTGTTCATAACATTACAGTGTTCTAATAAAAAATCTTTGTTCAACTGAATGCAATTGACTGTTATACCTTTTGTCTCCTAATGCCTGTTGGACAGACTTCCAGTATTTCTGAGTCCATTCTATGGGTGACTATTGTTCATAAATATTTTGCCATGCACTGATTCCTAACTCTTCTTCTATAATTGCCTTTCTCTTTCTATCCCCGGGCCCTTTAAAAAAAAGGACAGGGGAACATTATACAGTGGCAGTCTAGTGTAATTCACAGGAATATAAAAAAGATTCCTCAGAATTGCTTTGCATATTTAAATTGAAAACACAGTTCTGATTTTCATGTGTAAAGTTTGCCTATCTTATATTTTCCTCTCTTCACATATATTGAACTGTAGAGTTCATTATGCTGGATATAATGTAACAAGACCTGAGGGAGACTTAGGAAAATACAAGTCCATTCCTCATCATCATCGAGGCGAAGTCCAGTTTTTAGGACGGTAAGTTCCCATTTAGAAATTTGAATACAAAATGTTCACAACTAGGTGGTCATAACTATGTGAAACATTTTAAAAGAGTTATTTGTATGTTAATAAAATCCTCAAAAAAGATTTTGTTTAAATATTTTTAAATTACCATTCTTTATAAAATGAAAAATGAAGGAGCAGCTAGGTGGCGCAGTAGATGGAGCTCCGGTCTTGGAGTCAAGAGGACCTGAGTTCAAATGTGGCTTCAGACACTCGACAGTTACTAGCTGTGTGACCCTGGGCAAGTCACTTAACCCCGATTACCTCACCAAAGAGCAAAACAAACAGATAAGATGAGAAATGACACTCTCATTGTTATAATAAAAACACATTGTATTAAAGACTTAAGTTTACTTGTAAAAATGATGATTCCTCAACATATCCAGAAAAATTCATAATGCTTCATCAGTTTTTATTTTCTTTCTAAACTTGATCTTGTATCCTCATTTCTCAAAAATGTATGAAGTAAATTATACATCATTAAGTAGACTAGTTTGTAAATCAAGATTAGAGAAAGCTCCCCATTTCTGTTCCTTTTGTTTTAGGTCTGTGTGACACTGACATGGTTTCTAAAAAAAAGAAAAAAAAGACAATTTGGTATTGAGTGTTACAGAACATATAAATCTCAATCAAAGGCAAAGGTGTAAACATAAAACTTATTATTCTTTATAGATTTTGCATAAATCTGATAAAATTAATGACATGACTAAGAATGTAGTAATTTAATTACCTAGGATTATTACATTGCAAAAGGGCAATTTTTTTGTGTTTTTTTTTTAACTTTTGAAAATGCAAAATGTTTGTAGTTATAAAGCCAAGATTTTGGCTTAGAAGTATTTATGAATTTTTAATTGTTGAGGTTTTTTTTAATATGTCAAAGACATCTCATCTTTTCAATGTAAAATGGATCCAAAGATACTGTTCATTGTATTTCTTTCTAAACATTTCACCATATTTTTGTACTTTTTCATCCTGCAGATATAAGCTGCTACGGTATTCAAGAGAGCGTCAGTACATTGATGGGTTGAACAATTTAATATATACTCCTAAAATACTGATCAGTAGGCTGTATAAAAACATCACTGTAAACCTCACTCCAGATTTAGCTCCTGTTCAAGACTATTGAAAGAAATGGATCTTGTTGGCAAGACCAGCTGGACTACTGGACTAGAAGCTTGGTGTGCACTGGTGGAAAATATTTATAGGAGCTTTTTGGCTATTGAGAGATGTGTGAAAAGAAGTAGAGTGTATGACAGTGCACTGTATGCCGAAAAGAAGAAATGCCAGCAGCCAATACTCAATGTTTACAGCATGAAGCTGTTAACAGTCAAGCCTTCTTTCACTATATTCTCTGTGTTAAGAAGCCACTCAGCTATATACATGGATAGCACTGCAGAAAACAGATACCATTGCTTAGGAGTGAAAGCTTTCTTCTACCAGAAAAAAAATTTTATATTAAAAACTATGATTTTAATTTAAGTGAATGCTTTATTTCCTTTTAAAATGTTTTGTAAATATATGGGATGTAAATTTATGTGGTCAAATAGCTTTTAAATATGATAACGTGTTGAAATTCTGCATGCCGTTATTTGTTTTTTGTAGGATTTTTTTAAAATTTGCATGGAAGAACCAATGTAAATTTGTTACCAAACAGAAGTTAACCCTTGTGTGAAATGAAGGAACTGTCAATAATCGATGGCCAGCTATGATAGCAAACTGTTACACTGGTTTTGAGCTTTAGGCCTCCAGCCTTTTTTATTAGATAGATTCATAGCTTTCATCAGATGTTAATGGTAAAGGGAAAGAATTAAGTAGTTCCCTTCCTGCTAGGTTTATGTGATTTCCTTGCTCACTTTCACATCTAGTTTTGCTAAATCACAGCTATATTCTTTATGCATATTGCATGTATAATACCAAGAAAATCTTAAAAATTCTTATATATCATTATATAAAGGACATCTTATTTTAAGCATCTTCATATGTGCCACTAGTGTTAGTGTCAGGGATTCTGTGCCTAAAACAATGTTCTCAAGTTCCTGGGTGTTTGTACACTGTAGTATTTTTTTCATTATTATTGCTAGTGAACAGCACTTTTATCTTCCCAAATCAAAAGAGCCAAAAAAGTCTTCATTTCAAAGAAAAACCACCACCCACTATGGTTTTGTTGCTGTTGTTTCTAAAGAATGAATTATGAGAAACCTTGCAGTGCTTGTGTTACGCTAATCAGTTTGGGGGTTTAAATAAAGAATTGAACTTTCTATTTTGTGGAGATAAATATTAGAAGGAAGTATCATATTTTTAAAGTTTGATTCAGTCAACATTTTGTATATTCAGAAAATTATAGTTGGAAAGGGACCTAAGAGATCATCTAATCCAACTTTCCCATCTTACAGATGAGGACACTGAGGTGGAAATGAATTGACTTGCCCAAGATCATCTAACTGAGGGTAGAATCAAGATCAGAATCCTGTTCTCCTGACTGTTGGTCCGGTCCTCATGTCACTATACCATGCTGCCTCTTCTGTATCATTCACTTTAAGGATCACTCGTATGGTATTACTGATTACATTTGCCAACAAAAAGCATTCACAGACAGAACCCTGTTATAAAAGAAGTTGTTATGAAATTGACTTAGAGATGAATCAAATTATGTCATTCTCCCTCTCCCCCATAACTACATTTAGAAAATGCCTAATATAAAACAGTTCATAAGTAGGTGTTAGTCAAGTCTCTAACACTAGGGTCATAAAAAGGTTTTACTTTATTTAGAAACATGATATATTTAAATTTTAAGTGAACTTTTCAATGTTGAAGCAAATTATACCAACCTGCTACCTTTTTTTTGACAATTGTCAATCATAGTCATTTAGCGTTTCTTGAACCAAAGATTTTTTTAATCCCTAAATGTTATGATGAATGTCAAACAAAATGGGTAGTTGCAGAATTAAAAAAAACATGCTACCTTATTTATACCCGAATATTTGCTTCATGGATTCCTCTGAGGAGATCTATAGTTGGGTCATCTCAGGTTGTGAACATAACTTTAAAGTAATTTTTGCTCTGGCAACCTTGACAGAACAAAGGATCATAACCCAGGTCCTAAAAATCATTAAGTTGCCTGTAACTTTGAGAAAACAGAAAGTTGTTTGGCATAAAATTAGGAGATGAGATAAATTTATTTCTGTTATGTTGCTTGGAAATGTTTTTTATTTTTTATATATTTTGTTTTCACTTTCTTCTGTGGCATAAATAAATGTCAGCCAAACTTTTTAAAATGGCTATTTGGAGTGCTTTAAAAATTTTATTCTCTGGCCATTTTTCTCTTAAATCAACTGTATTTTCTTACTTCCATAAAACGAAAGACGCTGTAATGGAAAAATAGCATTTATCAAGACCTACAATGCACTAAGTTTTTTGTTTTTGTTTTTTTGGGAACAAAGTAAGCCTAATTAGTAAATACACTGACAATGAGGGGATGAGGTTGCAGATGGAGAGGAGAATTAATGTGGGCTCCTATTTCTCATTAAAGAAACATTTTTTTTTCTTACAATGTTCTAAGCAGGTACAAATCTTATGCTTTTTTTTTTAAACTTTTAAAAGTTGTGAGTTGCCCACGTTTTGGCCTTTTCATTTAAATGTGTCGCTGCAATATTAAAACATAATACTGGAAGTTGTCTGCCATGTTTGTTTGGCCTATATGTTTTTTGACATGACTTATTTTTTTCAGCTTTGAAACAATATTTGGAAACATTCAGGTACACGTAGTTGGAAATTGTATGTACCTTTTTGTAAAAAGTCTAGATAATCAATTTTATAGTTAAACCAGTGAACGTGGATGTGGCTCAATATTAGTGGATCCAACCTTGCCCAGTTGCTTAATTATAGTTAAAATATATCCTAATTTACTCCAGAGAAATTAAAATAGCATATAAATGTACTCACATACAACAATATGTTCTTAAATCAAGTCAGTTTTGCTTAGGCTTAAATTATGTTTGTCTTAATAAAAGAATATAAAGGATTTGTTAAATAGCTTAAATACTCAATAACAATCCAGGATTTTTTAAAAAGACTACCTTGTGGGTATGATTTTAAATTGTCTTTAGTGCCCACTGTGCTATAGCAGGAATTAATATAGTGCCTTTTACAAAAAGGAAATGTAATGAGTAGGGTGCATGCTTGTGAGCAAAGTTTTGTACACGTGGTCTGTCTGCTGCTGAGATTCTTTTCTAATTCACAATTTAAGTATAAAATTCCATCTTTTCTGGTTTCTACACTTGACAGAAATAGGAAAACAAACTCATGCCAAATATAGGATATAAAGAACTTGGAAAATCCAGTTTTCAAATTCTATTTCTTGTATTTGGCAGAATGGGGGGATTAATGATTGTACCTCATCCACTCAGTTTGCATGGAAAAGTGATTGCTTATTGAAAGACTGTCTCTACTACTCTCCTAGCCAAATCATTGATTTCCATTTTGAACCAAAATGGAAAAAAAAATCAATAGATCTTCCTCCCTTTTTGGGGAGGATATTCTGACAAGTGAATGCAAAATGTTTCCCATTTTATTTGACCTTTAGTGGTCTGCATTATATTTCATTTTTATCTTTCTCAACTAAGGAATAGAATACTAGTCTTGTTGCAGTGGAATCATGAGTGTGCTAGTGAAGAAAAATAAAAAGGATGCAATGGTGTATATCAAGAGAAAGTGTACTTAAGACTTTTATTTACAAAGGTGTGAAAGGCTTTTACAAAAATGCACTGAATGCTGGGAACTTACTGTGTACTATCATGTTTTGATTTTTATTTTGCTCTTCATGAAAATGTTTGTACTTTTTTATCATTGTCTTTTATGAAATATAATGTTCTAAAGATTTTGTGTGATTTATTTTTTTCTCATAGATGCTTTGTGTTGGGTTAACAGTATGATTTATTCTCATTTTTTAAGCTCCAGATGAACTTTTCTGTGCATGGTCTGATTGACATAAAATATTAACAAAAACAAATGTGGGCTATATAGCTCTTTGCTCCTGTAGTTTTAATTAGTTAAATGGAAAGAGCTCATCTTGATCATATATCTCTAAAGGGGCATATGATCACAAACCTCACAGTTGGAAGGGACCTCAGAGGTCAACTAGTCAAACCTGTATGTGGAGAGCAACCCCTTCTATGACACTCCTAAAAGTGGTCATCCAGCCTTTGTTTGAGGACCTCAGTCTTAAGGGGAACCATCTACCTTCTAAAACAGGCCAGTCCACATTAGTATAACTCTGATTCTTAGGAAGTTTTCCTTTACCTAAAGCCTGAATCTGTCTTCCTTCAACTTCCATCTCATTGTTCTAAGTTTTGTCTGCCGTCTGTCTGTCTGTCTGTCTTTCTTTCTTTCTTTCTTTCTTTCTTTCTTTCTTTCTTTCTTTCT